CGCCTTGGGGACCCGGGATCTCCAGGGCCCTTGCTCTGGATGATGCCAGGCCGTGCGCTCTGCGGCCGCGGCGCCTGGCTCCTTGCGCTCCCGTGGGCGTTGGGGCTTCCCCCGGGCAGGGCGTGTAGAGAGAAAAGGGGAAAAGGAGCAGGAACTGGGAAGGGGACTCCCTCTCTGCGTTTGCCAGGAGGCTGTAGCTTTACATTTACTCCCACCTTCCACTCTTTCTTCTTATCTTTGGAGGTACAATTCAAGTTGCTGAGTTGGCCAAGGCCGAGAGCACAAGTGTTAACCCACCTGCTCTATGGGGGCTTCCTATTCCCGGTGGCTCAGGGTTCATGGTGGACACTGCTCTAATCTCCTCGCCCAGTCTTTAAATAGCACCCTCCCTGGTGGATGGGCTGAGGTCTGAAGAAATCGAACACGGGGAATTGGAACCCTCGTTTCTTCCTTTGCCTCTAACTTGTGCTGCAGGTGAATCAGTCCCTCTGCCAGAATTTCAGCTCATTCAATGAATCACTAAACCCACATGAATGAATTTGTCTGGCAAAAGGGCACTGCTCCCCGTCCAGGATTAGGAGGTCCCTGCTTTTAGTTTCAGGTCTAAGGACAGTTAGAAGACCTTAATGTAAAATGTAACATGAACAGAATATTCCCCAGTACCAGTAAATTTATGCAAAAAAAAAAAGTGGAGTTCATACTAGAGTGATTAGGAAACCTGCTTCAGGTTGGCTGATCCTTAGCCTCATCGAAGAGGCCACATTTTGAGGTGAGACTCAAATGGCAAAGGCAGGGGCCAAGGTGTGAGGCACAGAGGATGCACTCTGGGGCTTGTGGAGCCCAGAGGGGGCCAAGGACAATCAGCGGCTGCAGAGCTCTCATCAGCCCTTGGCAGAGGTCAAGGAGCACCTGCACTTTTCACATCATCCCAAGGGTAGAGAAGCCCTCCATTCCTGCTGACCAAGGGGCTCCTTGGTTACCTCCTTTACTCCCCCCTCATAGCTGCTGGCTGGAGGGGAAGGGAGGGCTGCGAGCAAGGCCAAGGTCTTAGCCCTTGTTCCAAGAAAAGAACAATCAGAAGGTCTTCCTGGAGGAGCTGGCCAAGGAGCAAATAGAAGAGTAGGGGAGGGTGAGGAGTGTAGGGGAAGGGGTCACAGGACCACCACCTGTACAGGACTGCCAAAAGATGAACCTCAGAAGTCTCCAAGAAGAAAAGAATTTCCAAAAGAAGTTAAGCCATAAAATTGAGATCATTAAGACCGTAGTATTGGCACAAAAATACACTGCTTGTTGCAACAGAATAATATTTGCCCAGAAACTGACTTAATAGAAGAATCTAATATAAAATAGGAACATGACTGTCCTCCAACGGAGAAAGAATATTCGTTGATTCCTGGGATGCGGTATGGGTTTTGTGAGGATTCAAGGAAGAGCACATGAAAATGTGACCAGCCCTGTGTTCCGTGCACAGTAGGCCCTGCATACCTGTTTATGAATAGATTAATGATCCACAATAATAAGTAGCCAGTGGGCGCAAATTGAAAAGGAGGAAGAGCCCAGGGAGAGGGATTTGTCTGGGTTAGAAAACCTTGAAATGCGAGCTGAGCAGCCCCAAGCTTGCTCCAGCCCACATGTTGATCCTGACACCTACAACACACCAAACACACCCAAGGGGTCATCTGTAGAAATTCTATCCCACTGTAGTATTAAGGTTGGACACTTAATTCAACTATGCTGTTTATAGTGCAGCTTTGGGAGGAGAGTAGGATTACATAGGTCATCCAGGCAGGACCCCTGATTGAATACTGGTGGCCTTAGAAGAAGAGGGAGAGGAACCAGAATACACACACGCTCCCTGTGCTCTCAGTAGTTATTTTACAGCTGTGTTAGTCAGCTTTCTGTCCCTGTGACAAAGTACCTGAGATAATCAACTTAAAAGGAGGAAAGATTTATTCAGACTCATAGTTTCAGGAGTTTCAATTCATGATCCCTTGGCTCTTTTGCAGGGGCGGCCTGTGTGAAGCAGAACATCATGGCAGCGTGGTGGAGCAAAGCCTTCACTTATTGGCAGCTGGAATGTGATGCCCGGGGCAGAGAGAAAAAAAGAGGGGCTGAGGTCCCCATATCCCCTCCCAGGGAACCCCCTAACTTCCTTACGCTAGGACCCACATCCTGAAGACTCCACCAAATCCCAACAGTGCTGCAGGCTGGTTACCACCCTTTAGCATGGGGACTTTGGGGGGACATTGAGAGCCACGCCTTCACAGCAGCAGAGGCAAAAGGGGAGCCAGTGGAGAGAACCAAGCCCCCAGCACGGTGTCCGACACACGAGATGACATGCTCAACGCATGTTTGTAGATGAAATTTCATTTTGCTTTGTTTAGAATAAAGGTGAAAGTCTTTATTCTTAGCAGGTCTCAGGACCTCTTGCAACTTCTTGTAATAAAAATGTTTTGATAATACTCCAGAAAACCTCAGTGTATAAATGACTCTAGGATCATATGGAAAAAAGACATGAAAATTTATTAGTGTGCAATTAATCAAAAGTCCAGACTGCTGAAGTGACAGTTCGGATTGTTTTGATGGGAGCCACAGACCGTCACATATTAATGTTCTAGGATAAAGTACAGGGCTGGCTTCATGCTTCTGAAGGATGAGGTAACCTCAATATCAATTCAAAACTCTGATCTAATTAAATCCAATAATAGGGAAACTGCCAGGTACTTTGGTCTGGGAAATTGATTTATTCCAGTGATTTTATAATCCAATGGAGAGCATTGTTCAGGTTTCTAAAAGAGGATCTTGAAATTGCATGAAAGACAGAGTATATATACATTGGGTATCATTTGAGGGACTACGTAATCACAACACTCCAGAATACAAATTCCAGTTAAAGAAAACCTAATAACCTGTATCCTATTGGGAGGAATCTTCTCTGAACCTAAAATCCCTGAGAGCCAGTTGGACGTAGTACCAAGAACAGAGTAGATGACAGTATCAACAAGGACCAGGCTGGGGACTAGAGTTCAAACAGCAGGGCATCTCTTCTGGTTTTGAGTCCCAGGTTAATATGTGACATCAAAAACTCAGCCATTGCTTCCTCTCTTCCATTCCTTTATTCTTGTATCAGTCTGTTTTCAGTTGCTATAACAAAACAGGTTGGGAATATATAAAGAAAATAAATTTATTTAGTTCACATTCTTGGAGACTAAGTCCAAGATAGGGTAGACTCATCTATTCAGTTTCTGGTGAGGGACCTCTCGGCTAGGTCACATTATGGTAGATGTTGTCACAAGGGAAGACTACATGACAAGACAAGAAGCCAGAGAGTGAGGAGGGGCCAGATTTGCTCTTTTAAGAAAACCCTCTAGAGAGAGTCCAGCTGGGTCCCATAAGAGTAACCTTAATCCCTCCCGAGGACAGTGACACTGACCCTCAGTTTCTGCCTCTGTAAGTCCTTCCAAGGTGCAAGCCTCTCTGATGAGACAATGCTCTGCCGATGGTCATTATGACTACAGTCCAGGGAGCAGGGACGAGTCTCCGGCTCATGAACGTGCAGAATGATGACCCTGCTGGCCCTCTCATCCCGTTCCCAGACGACATTGAATCATTGTTGCAGACTGTTTTAAATTTTACTTGCATTATTTGTTGCATAAGAAATGCAAAGCTGTGGAGGAATGATGGGATACAAACCTTCAACAAGGCAATGTGATAATATGTCATCCTGTTTTCAGGAATACCCAGTGCGGTGCTGCTGGCGACACCACAAATATGACCTGCAGATGACAGAGACAATGCTGAGCCTGGGAAGGCTCCTTGCCTGGAGGACAGCAGCCACCTGTGGCAGGTTGGTAACACTGGACCTTCCAGTCATGGGTGGGACTAGAGGACAGACACATGTCCTCCCTACAGAATTATTCCCCTGCCCACGACCCTCTGCCAACACCGTCACCCATGCACTAAGGAGCACCTTTTCACCAGCAAAGGATTCCACATAAAACTACGACTGACCAACTACCTTCTCTCCAGAGTGTTTGCTCTGTACCTAGGTATTGGTCCCCCTCCAGGAGGAACCAGCCACACAAGTCCTTCTTTGTAACCTCACTGGGGAGAGCACCCCCTGCTGGTTTGAAAGCAATCTCTAATTTGGAGTCTAATAAGAACCCAGGATGAGAGAAACTATCTGGAAAGGATCCCAAGACTCCCAGGCAGGTACTTTTTTATTCTGAAAAACCCACTTCATCAGGTTTTCAAATGACTGTCCCCTCACTTCCTGCAGCCTAGCTTCGTCCCCCTTTCCCTGGAGTGTATGTCATTCCCTGTTAGGGCAGAGGAACCCATGCTCCCTGCCAGGCGAGAAGCTCCCGGGGAGTGAAGGAGAAGAGGCAACAGGACATCCTTCTT